ATGAGATCAAAGAGAAGGTGAGAGATACTCATTTAAACCTATTGGCTTTTTGGGTGATAAATTAAAAAATGCTCCAATCTGTATTCTCACTTATGCCCACTTCTGAAGATAGTCATGATTCTAAGGAAAAAAAATCCTAGGTACTTTCTGGTGACTAAATTAAAATAAAAATAATGATAATAATAATATTAACAATAAAATTGCGGTTATTTGACTGCTTGTCCCCCTCCCCTCCTAATTTATATGCTGAAACTAAGTCACATCAGTGACTTAGAAAGTATGGGTTTTGAGAAGTGATTAGGTCATTAGAAGTGGGAGGACACAGCCCTTATGAATGGGATATAATAATGTGTTTATAATAGGAGCTACAAAAAGCTGTCTTGTTACTTCTGCCACATGAGGACAAAGTAAGAAGACACCATCTATGAATAAGAAAGCAGTCACCAATCTGTCAGTGCTGTGATCTTGGACTTCTCAGCCTACAGAACTTTAAGAATAAAATTTTCTGTTGTTTGTGAGCTACTCCTTTATAATATTTTGTCACAACAGCTCAAATAGGCTAAGACAGAGTTTGACCAGGTTAGGAGACATTCACCTTATTTTGCATACCATTACAAAATTAATACAAAAAAGCATGTTCTCTATCTACCTCAAACATACTTAGTATGATAGTTTGCTTATATTTTGTTTAAAGTAGAAAAATGTAAGATTATATAAAAACACTGTCACAGTTGAAAACTAAATTTCCCTACACTTTAATCTTCAAGGTAATTGATAAAAACATGTTAAGAAATGTTTCATTACAGGTAAGAAAGGAGTCTAGTGCAATTTTAGTTATACAGAAAGTTTGAAGTGAGTTATATTATAATTTATTAGATTACATGTAATTTATTCAATTCAGTTTATAATCATGAAGTGACCTGACTCATAGATGGATTGTATTAAAAAATTACTTTGATTAGCAACAGAGCACAGATATAGCTTGATGCAGTAAGAAATAATTCATATATTTTTTTTGTTGACCATTACTTTACACTAACATTTTAGATTCATCTAATTTGTGGGGTAGAGTAGGATACTTAAAGAAAGAAGGACTTTGTCCTCAGGATATTAGCTACACACATATGTTGACCCAGAAAATTTTATTATATGTACTAATATGTGTTATAAAGCCTCATGGGACCATGCTACACAACTTCTCCAGAAATAATTGTTTGTTTCTGAGGCATTTAATGTCAACAATGCTGCTATCTTTACCTGAGAAAAAATCAGCTCAGGTTTCTATTCTATTCAACCTTCCCTTAGACTTTAAGAGTTTCATTTTTTTTAAGTGAAGGGAACTTTTTCTTTAACTTTTTATTTACTCAATATAGTTTATAACTTAACAATAGTGACACAAAATTGTGCGATAGTCTAAATACCCCCAAGCTGGCATCATTATAGTTCAGAATAATCTAGGACTCTATAACTCACAGACTTCCTCTAGTCTGATAGTTGCTAACCCTTTTTGGAGGGCTGGATTTCATTTTTTTTTTTAAGTTTTGATACTCTAAGTATTGGAATTGATTGCAAGTGTGGAAAGAGAAGAAGGCATTGACAGTAGTAGTCTGCAGGAGAACAGGCAATGTACAGGCTGTCTAAGGTAGAGCAACTGGAAGAGAATGAACATTGATACGAAGTCAAGAGCACAACAGATTTGAGAAGAGTCTTCTGCCACTTTACCACAGACACAATGTCTGTGGAAACCACAAAGAGCAATGAGTTCAACCTGCAAGTGGAGTTGAAAATAAACAGTGTATAACAGATGCTACTGGAGAAGTGCATGTGGATAGCTTTCATAAAGGTAAATAGGAACATGAGAATCAAATGCCTGAGTCCCAAACACAGTGCTTATTCAATAATGTAGGAAAACGTTGAGATGCAGAACAGTGGGTTATAAAATATTAACAAATGATCTACTGAAATGGTTATTAGAATAACTAAACACATGCAGGTAAAGAATACCTAAATATATATATCTCAGTACTGATCTCAGTATGCCAAACAGAGAGTTATTTTGGTACAGTAAGTAGATTGGGAAAGAAACTTGATCTTATTGAATAGACAAATATCCAGAATGAGCCACGTGAATAGGACATGCTCACTTCAGATAAAATGAAGAAAATGTTGATGTACATTAGACAGAAATGTTCTGAGATCTAGAAGTGCTCGCTTTCAATTCTGGGACAGCTACCTGCATGATTGTCTTAGGTGAGACCTCCACAAATTTATTGAGGTAAGATGATTTTGCGAGATAGATGTATGAACAAATATTTGAGACAAATAAGTGGCATGCACTTTTCATTGAGTTATGAGCTGCCAATCAAAACTTGCATCCACAGGATAGAATGTGGTAGAGGCAAATTGTAGGTTGCAGAAGGAAAAGATGAGAAAGTTTTTTATTCCTGTCTTTTTCAGAAGTTCCCTATTCTGTGCAGGGAAGAACATATATACATCATGAAATGTTAACATGACCGTTAATGCACCTGAGAAAGAGAGAAAAGAGCCATAGTGTTAGCAGTCATCAGAGTCCCTCTCATAAGTAGAGATACTAGTGGGTAGGATCAATATAGGACAGAGATGATAATGTCTAGGCAGAATGGATATGTTTATGAAGAAAAGTAGAATTATGAGTAACATGGAGATATTCCCATGGGAAAATAAATTACATGTATGAAATCTTGTTAAGATAATAATAATAGCTTTATACGAAGAAATGAATCCATTTTCAAATCTTTGGTTTGCATCTGTCTTCATCACATTTTGAAGTAGATTATCTCAAGTCATTTAAGGGTGAATAATTTAAGGTAATGTATATGTGCATTCAACTCTATGTTCATGACCTATCAGCCCCTGTATAACATCAACAATACACCTCATAGGATTATATAAATTTTAAAAATATTATAATGACATAATTGTAATTTATTGACAGCCTCACATCTTCTTCCTATGTTCAGAGTTTTTTTCAAATGTACTCTTCTAATTCATATATCATACATCAATTATTACCAAACATTTTAATATAATGGCTAATATAAAACTTCTAAAAGTCTCCCAAATGTCACTGGCAATGTTTAACCTAAGCACATATATAGACACTGAGGATGAGGTAAAACAATTAGTGTTCTATTGAGAAGTTGAAGATCTTGTACTTTCCAGAATATCCTTAGATTTTGAGACTATCCTTAGAATGTGAACCAGAAAAGATCAGAGAGTGAAAAAAAAAAATTATAGTCTTCATAGAAATAGAAAGGAGAGATCGAGAAAGGGATGCACACAGTATTGTCAAGCAGGGTTAATGCATACATTAAAAGAGGAGCAAAATATACATAAGAGTGTAGGAAATATATGTAGATCTGCCTGTATTTACTCACTCAATAATTCATTTATTTATTTAGTAAATATTTACTTAGTACCTGTCATGTTCCAGGCACTATAGAGGTCAGTAGGTATAGGCAGTGAACAAAAGAGACACAGCCAGCGTCTTTTGAATTTAAAATGTACTAGGCAAGACAGACATTAAAAAAAAAAAACAGCAAATAATTACCTGATTACAGTTGTGATGTGTGATATGAGACAAGTAGCAAGAAGCAAAAAGTACTATTACAACACAAAATGATACGGGGGTGGTGAAACAACCTAGACTTGATCGCTCTTAAAAGCTACTTTGAGGGAAATAGGTACACTTGTAAATGCAGGTCCCTGCAAATCCAAGGAAAACAAAACTCTCAGAAAGTCTTCTCCTCCTATCTTATTCTACTAACATTCAGTGTGTTATGTTGCAATGATTTCAACTCAGTACAACTTCTGAAACTTCATATTTTAAATTCTTACCTAGTAGAGAACATCTAGCATGAACAAACTTATCCTCTCTGTTCTCCACTTTCTCATCTTGACGTCTGTCTGCAACAAGTTCTTTCAACAAGGTCTTAGCAAGAGGAATTAGTGTTATTCTCCAAAGGCAGCTTTCCTGTAGATACCTAGTTTCCTGATTTCTAAAATTCTTCCCTTTGGGCTTATTCTCCATGTATATAGTAGCTATTGGGCTTTGTTCTTAGTACCTAACTTTCTTCCAATTGTCCAAAAGTTTGAATAGATTTTTATTCAAGCCTTCAAACTATATCTATCTCTTTATTTATGTATCTAATTATCTATATATAGAGATGGAAAGTATATATATATACACACACACACACACTTATACATACATGAGATATTTATATATATACATATATATTAGAGCAAGAGAGAATAAAATACAATATTTTAATAACAAACAAATGTGTTGAATGTATTATTTTTGAAAAATTTTAAATTAAGTTCTTCTCTTCATCATCCCAGAATTCTCCAAAAGAACCATTATTTTTATCAGTTTTGTGCATGTTTTTGCACACATAAATTGATTTTTTGTGTGTTTAAATGATCTTACAAAAAGGCATTGTCATAGGTATTTATATACAAATACATACATATATAATTCACATGAAATAATTCAATAATTTGCTATTTTTACTTAATCCTTAAACACATTAATCTGGGTCTTTTTTTTAACTACTGCAGAATATTTCATAGTACACTTGAACTTATTTATTTAACTATTTACCTATTAAGGACCAGTGAGTTGAGTTTTTTTTTAAACTTTATTTCAAATATTGCTAAAGGGATACTTTTTATTCAAATTTCTGTGATCATGAGCAAACACTAAAGTATGAACCTAAGGCAGTGCTTCAAATTGGGATTTCTGGATTGAAGAGCATGTAGACAAAATGCAATATTATACTAATTTAGATTGTAACCTGTACTGTATGAAAATGTATATTTCACACATTCCTCAACATGCAGTATTTTTAACCTTTCTATCTTTGACAAAGTAGATGAGCACTTCCTCCCTCTCTGGATTGCCTTCGGTGATGAAACTGACTAGCTTTAGGAACACTACCTCAATAACCCTCACCTCATTAACATTTTTTTTGAAGAAAGAGTTGGATCAATCCCTGGCGAATCTGTTTGGTCTTAAAACTGTAGATGATGGGATTGAGCACAGGTGGCACCAAAAGATAGACATTGGCCAGAAGTAGACAGACAGCAGGTGCAGCATGCTTCATGAAGCGGTGCACCAGGGCTAGGCTAATTATGGGCACATAGTACACAAGGACTGCACACATGTGAGATACACACGTGTTGAGAGCCTCCCACCGTTCCTCCCCAGAGGTAATGCCCAACACTGTGTAGAGGATCAGCACATAAGAGACAACAATGAATAGTGAGTCCAGTCCAAAAGTGGAAATGACGATGCAAAGTCCCAGAATGCTGTTGGGACGAGTGTCCCCGCAGGGAAGCTGAATTAGATCCGAGTGTAGACAATACGAGTGAGAGAGAGTGTAGTAGCCACAGAAGGGTAGATGCTTCAGGAGAAAAGGAAATGGAAACATGAGCATCACACTCTTCAGTCCAAGTGCAGCACCAGTACCAGCAATACGGGGCAAAGTCAGGATGGTTGTGTACCTCAGTGGACTGTAGATGGCCACAAAGCGGTCCACAGACATGGCCAGCAGAATTCCTGACTCCATGATGGAAAATGAATGTATGGCGAACATCTGCAAAAGGCAGGTTTCAAAGTAGATCTTATTGGCACCAAAAAGGAAAATGCCCAGCACAGTGGGCAGTGTAGAGGCAGAGACACCAAGCTCTGCAAAGGCCAGCATTACTAGGAACAGGTACATTGGTTGGTGCAGAGAGATGTTTTTCTTGATCACAGCCAGAATCAGGTTATTACCCACGAGGGTCACAAGATATGTAGAACAGAGTGGAAAGATGAACCAGGAGTATTGTGCCTCCAGCCCAGGGAGACCAGTTAGCAGAAAGTATTTTGGGGTGAAGTGACTGCTGTTGAACATTTTCTTGTGTCTGGATTTTAGGGATTTGGGGTTAGGCAGGTGACAAGGATGTCACCTGGGGTGAGAAACACAAAAATTAACAAATTGTACAATGAGGGGGACCTGTAAATTCTTCTACTTAATACTATCTACCAACTCATTTATCTTCTATTTCATGACCAGTTCAATTTGGTTTTCAATATAATATAAAAATGTGGAGCCATGACTTATAGGTAGATAGGCGTATGTCTAGAATAAAGTAATATGGTAGAAAATCACATTCTTCAAAATTTAAACTAGTACTCACAATGACTTCACCATATATGTTGTAAGGATTTAATGTTCCCCATTTCTCTAGCAAGTGATGGCATTGAGTGGTTTAATTAAGATATTCTTGAAAATACTTTGACATTAAGAAAGTTACAATCTATCAGACATTCTATACACTCCCATTAAAGCATAGTGAACTTTCAGTGACCAATGGGGACAAGAGTTAAGAATAACATTACCTCATAGTTAGTGTACAGTTGTCCAGAAGATAAGTACTCTGAATGCCCATCCTTGCCATTCAAGCAGCTTCAGAGACCACTGTTTATTGGGGGTACAGAATTATCTGGCTTTACCTAAATAAAATCTCTAAAATGAACTCAATTCTTCATATTCATTTACAATCTTCCTCATGATCCTTTTTGGGTTTTACAAGTGGAGAATGGAGGAAGGAGTAGAAAAGTCTGTGTTACAAAGGTTAATAGAAAGAAGTATTTTGCCCACTGGAATTCCTGTTAATGGAAAGAAGTGTCCTGTCCATTGAAAAATTCCTTTCCCATTGCTAATCCACATATTGGAGTATGGTTAACCCATGTTTACTGCATTCGTGGCACAATGGGCAGGAGTATGACTCCTTCAGACCATATTTCTGAACTGCAGAAATCATTATTTTTTTTAACCCATGATGGCCCCAAAATGTTAATTCATAATGTCACTTTAATCCTTGATAGGAGAAGTGCTCATGCCTTCTGAAACACTGCCTGGTAAGGCAACGTGCATCTCTTTACATCATCCAAGAGAAATACATCTGTCAAGGAGAGAGGAAGAGACCACCGCAAGATGTACCTATGAGAAAACCCTGATATCTCAGGATGGGAGGTCAATCAAAATCTTTACGTTAGAGAAAAAAAAATTAAAAAGAAAAATAATTAATATATCTCTCATAAGATAAAGAAAACACATCTGATAACTGACTCCCTGTTGGAAATAAAAAACATGAAATGGTGAAAATTTTTAGAGATGAAGAAGCAGTGGAATAGAATTAAATCTGCAGACTTGGTATTAAATTCCTGATTTCTACTTTCTAGTGGGTTAAATCTTTGAGACTAACATTTTAAATCTATACAATGAGGTAAAATATATAGCAAAACTTAAGGGTAGTGAATATGATAATAGGTGCAAACAGACCTTATAGTAAACTATACAGCAATCATTACCTACAAGGAGATAATTTTGTCCATTATGTGAAACATTAGGTCTCCTGAATAAATCCATGACTTCTCATAGAAAGATAAACTTTGGTGATTACATAAGGGTTTCTTGACTTGGAACCACTCTGGTATTCTGGGTATTGTCTCTTTTCTAATTAATATTAGGAGGGAGATGCTTCCTTTCAACTCCACCCTCTTGTGCTTCAATTCGACATATTAGCTGTCTAAGTAATTTGTTTCCTGTTCATAGTGCATAATATTTTGACATATTTTCAGTAATTTTCTTTGATTGATTAGAGTGAACTAGTTATTTTACTTATATACCTTATAAATTGCTTCCAGATGTCATGTCTTGAATTTTTGAATTTCAGAGCAGCAGGTTTAAGAAATAGGATTACAGGCTATTGCATCATATTACATCATTGAAAACTTGGCTCAGTCACTATCTGTGTGGTTCATCATTTCTCCAAGTATAAAACAGAGATAATAATAAGGCCCTCTATGCTTGCTTGAGGCTTAAACAAGTCAGTGTATATGGAGCAGTTAGCATATAATACTTTCAATAAATCCAATTATTGTGAGTGGAAATGGTAATATAGATAATATCATTAATATGAGTCAAGTATTTAATTTTCACACAAGTATTTAGGCCTTTTCTCTCTTACCTTGTGGATAATATTCAGTTTTTTGAAATTACTCAATCGTTTTACATTTTCTAGATTGAAGATATCAATTTTGTATCTTTAAGTCAGATTGCTATATGAAGACCTTTCTAGTATCTAGAATGTCTCTAAGAAATAATTTGATCTTGCTTCCTGAAGAAGAGACACTGGTTTTCACACATATTAGAAAGTTCCACTGCTTTTCAAGAGCTCCTCTGAACACTAAATAATGACAATAACAAAATCATTTGCATGAGAAATTAGTAACTGTGTAGAACTGTCAGAGTACCGAATATCACTTGCCATGTAAAAGCAAGCAGATAATATTTGAGAGACACTACATCTGTCTATGATAGTAGTTACGAGGAGACAAAAATGTTCTGGACTTCAGACTGAACTTGGGTTTTTCATCTTTATTCCTTGTTTGCTGATACGTTCATTTGTGGGACGTCAAAAAATAAAGTAAAACAAAGTTTTCATTAAATGAAGGTCTCTTTGAGGACAAAAAATGATTTTTTTTTACTTTATTATACGTGAGGAGTTATTGTAGAAAGTCAGAGACCAATACTAATAAGTGAGGTTTGAGGGTTGTGGGAAGCAACAGGAAAGGTTAACACCTGGTGTTTGGTTGGGAAGAGGACAAGGAGAAGAGGAAATAAACTGTGTTGATTTAGTTCTACATATCAGGCATTCCAAAAGGGTGCTTTGCATATGTTATTCTTATATATTTCATCTTATTAATCCCCAGAATCCTAAAAATGACCTAATCACATCCACTTTATAACTTGGAAGAGGGGGAGGCATGTAAAAACACAAAAAGAACCTGGTCCTAAGTCAGGGGAAGTAAGGACCAGATGGAGGCCCAAACTTCACCTGCACACAGCCTGCTTGTATAGCTAACCCTAACTTGTATCCCACATTAAAAAATAACTTTGAAGTGTAAGAAATTGGCATTGCAAATTACTTGTCAAAGTCACAGAGCTATGTGACATAACTGGCTCTGTGGAATAGAGGAACTAAGAACTATTGCTACAGACGGCAAATGAGAGGAGGGTGAACACATCTAAAGAAGGAAGACAGATTTGAAAACAAAACCAGGTCTCTAATTTAAAAAGAACTGGATTTGGGGACAAAATAGAGGCTTTTCCACCCCAGGTTTTCTAAATCAAGAGAGAAGAGCAGGATAAGACAGATTCCAAGTCTTCCTCTGTCACCATGAGACTTTCAAAAGTCTGTGTCCCAAACGAAAGAACTTTCATGACATGAAGAGAGGAGAAATAAAATGTATGCTAGAAATTAGCTTCATCTCATAACACAAATCCCAGGCAGGTTCAGCTCACCTGAACAGATTTTCCATTTTCCTGATCTCATACCCTGGACTTCCAGGATTAACTCAACCCCTCCTCTGTGATAGCTTACTAGCTCAGATGGCGACTCTTCTGTGATGTCTTTCTTTGCTCATGCATGCAGTCAATCATTGGCCCTACAATGTAGTAGGTTTCAGGTCAGTCTCCAGCTCACTAGCTGGAGGCAGAGGCTGATTGCTTTTGTATTTATCATGACCCTAAACCTTTTCCCAGTATTGTTGGTCAGTCCCCTGGGGGTCACAGGCAAACTAGCCTTAGAAGAATGTGCTGCCTCTGGGCCTGCAGGAATAATTAGGCCTAGAGCAGAATATTCCAGAGGTATTTGCTGGGGAATCATAAGACAAATTCAGAAATAATTCAGAATAGGGTGTGTGTGTGTGTGTGTGTGTGTGTGTGTGTGTGTGTGTGTGTGTGTATGTGTGTGTGTATGATTTTATGTGAATATGCAAGCATACAAGTTTATGTAAATGTACATGTGAACACACTCATATGTATAAGCCATGTTCCGCTATGTAGAATTTCATTTGTAAGTTTGCATGAATCTTTGAGCATGCATATCTTCCTACATACATGTGTACCAATTGAATGTGTGTCCATTTGTGTCTTTATGTATGTATATATGCATTAAATTTCTTTATACACAAATATATTTGTATTATATACATTTTTATAGATCCTTCATAAATACACTAATGCTCATTCCCTACTCATTCTATTATTCTAAACCTTGTTGGTCAGACACATTCTTGTGTCCTATGGGCAAAGGCAGAAATTATCTTGTGCAGAAACTGGTAAAGTATGACCTAAGAAGCTCTTTGAATCGGTAGCTTTTACTAAGGGCAGTTTTTTTTTCTTTTTTGTGGACATACCTTAATCATATCACCACCTACATCTGACATACTTTCAATCTAAATTTTTCTTTCTGTGATTTTAATGTAGGCTTTTATTGTTTCTCCTAGCTATATTTTCTCAGTATTTGGGTTCATAAGGAAGCACAATTCTTGTTCATTGGGATTCTAACTTAAGAATCGGATCAATTGACCTTTCCTGAATCATCCTCTGAACTTAAAGTCAAAGCACCTGGTTTTGCTGTCTGTTTTCCCTCTTTAATTTCACTTTTTTTGTAGTTTCTTGGTGAGCAGGTCTGTAAGAACCTACCCCCAAAGGCCAAGAAAGCTAAAAGACCAAAGAAAGAGGACAGCAAATACAGTTTCTCAGAAAGAAACAACTATTAAACATAATTTTCTTTATTTAATTTTTTATTTTTTTGAGTTGTAGTCTCACTCTGTTGCCCAAGCTGGAGTGCAGTGGCATGCTCATGGCCACCACTGCCTCAACCTGCTGGGCTTAGGTGATCCTTCTGCCTCAGCCTTCCAAGTAGGTGGAACTACAGACGCACACCACCATACCCGGATAATTTTTGTGAGATATTATAGAGACGAGGTCTCATCAAGTTGCCTAGGTTGGTCTTGAACCTCCAGGCTCAGGCAGTCCTCTTGCCTCGGCCTCCCAAT